TGACTGACTGACTGACTGACTGACTGACTGACTGACTGACTGACTGACTGCAGCTGACTGACTGTCTGACTAGGTTGACAGTCAACTAGCCGACTGACTTCTCCACCGTTTATCCTTGTTTTAAATAAGCTTTAAGCAACTATTTTTCGTTTCAATAAACTATAATTTCGTGAAGAACCCAGTCACATATATTTTTTTGAACAAATGTTTAGCTTCAGTCACGAATGTCACCCTGAATTGTTCTGTTGGAAACTCACTTTACACTCATCTGTTCTTTCGATAGTCGATCCCGAAACAGCGGTAGTTACCGAACCGACTGCAGGTCTTGCCGCGTTTGAATCGATGCGCATCTGAGCTGGTAGTAGCCATCCAAAACCTGGATGCTCAAAATCCATCGGATTTGGGGAACACACGGAATAGGGCGGATTAGATGCGTCCGTTAGTTTGCAAACCGGAGCCCATATTCCCGCGGAGGTAGGATAGTTATCCGACTGAATGGTTTCATCGGATACAGGTGGTTGTTGGAGCGAGTCTAATTTAATGAGAAGATTACGAAAGTTTATTTATATTTTTCGCTGTGGTATATTATAAGAAGGAGAAATGAGAACTTTTACACCACCTGTTATCTTGGAAATACAAATATCTATTTTCGGGGAATTGGGGTGGTTCTAATGCAACAGCCTGATCCCGATTGTGTATTTAATGCGGTACTTTATTTGAACATAAATTCATCTCCGTGTCCACAACTCTCCAGCCTCCAGTTAAACTGTTATTATTCAAAAATCTGCAAGTATAGGAGCCATACTGAGGGAAGAGCTACATTCCACAAAATGAGTACCAAGTTTGTTAGGAAAAGATGTCGTCTTAGTTAAATTGGCAAATAATTTGTTTACGGCTGCAAAAACTAGTCGATTGCAAATAAATACCGGTAGCACTACTAGAGTTTGGTGTTTTTCAGAATGGTTGCCAGGCTCCCTTTAACAGCTGCATTGGTCCAATCTCAAGGTAGTGAAAAGGTCGCTGATATCTTCGATCGGAACTCCTGTTTCAAGAATGGCAGATGAAACTCCTTGATCTCTGGTCTCAACTGTTAATATCAGTTGATTGCTTTGCATATCAGGTCTCCATTAGTCCAAGGCTCTAGGTATGACTCCCTAGGGAAACATCCTACTATAAGCGCTACCGCGCCGACAAACATCGATCGCAAAGCCATGTTTCTCACTGCCACATGCTATTGCTTGGTATACCAGTTGCAGTCATTTATATATATGTGCATTTACTGATAATAATTCAATATTTGGTACTACAAAAGATAAAGTATATGCACTCGAAAGTTATCAGGTACATCTTACCGGATTGCAAGTAGCGACGAGTTCCCTGAAGCGGCAGCTGCAGAAACGGACACCAAGTACTGGGTTCTGGTTGAGAAGATGCGGTTGAAGTAACCGTGACCCGTGGATTCGGATTACTCAACCATTCAGCCGAATGAATCGTATCCTCACTACCGAAATCTATTAATTCACGGTTCAAATCCCGTCCAATGTGTGACGAGTAAGACCGAAACCGTGCTTCCAAACTGTCTGTGCGCAGAGTGGATGTGGCATTGGTTGTTATGGTACCACGTTGTACACCTTCCACCTGTGTCATCATCGACAACTGTGGCAAATCATCAGATATTTGTGTGTGTTGTGCCGGACGTCGACGCGGTGCCCGACGTCTAGCCCCCGACATTTTACGACATCCCAAAGAAATTGAGTTCAATTCGTTCCGAGTTGTGTTACTAAGTTCAGGTTTGCACTGACATTTCTCTGACCAACAGCATGTTTTGTGGTTGCTAGAGAAAAAATAGAAGAAGTAGGATAAATACATATCTCTGATAGTTGAATCATTTCGTGTCACAAAATGAACCGTGCTTTCTTTCTCCCTGATTTTTACCCGTATTACTCAGGAATATGATAAGCTACAGCGGTGGTCATCATCATGGTCTACCTCGTTTATGTAACGTCACAAATGCTCTAATAAAAATTAGTTACTTCAGGAATACGATCCCCAATTTTTTCAATGCGACCCGTTAATATAAATATCTGACTGCAACTTTCAAACGAAAACGGCTTGGGAAATACGGATTACACAATAAACCTCAGGTCTAACCTTGCTAACCTTGTACCGTACATTTATGCCAAGTCATAAATAATTCTCGAATATGTCCTCCGGATAATTGTTTTCGCCACATATAACTATTTAAAATTTCTCAGCGCATCATTTAATTGCCGAAGAACCGTATATGACACATGCTATCAATTATTCATAAAATCTGGATACCGAAAATCTTCACTGATTTTTTCCAAAAGCATACATTGTTTTAAATGGAAAATATTTTTTGAAACAAAATTACTGCTAAGTTTTTTGTAGGTATTTTAACAGAACCTGGAGATCAG